TAGGAAGAAGTAAAGAGGTTATAAAATACTCTGGTAACTGAAGTGAACCAGAGGGGAAAAATTAGGCAGTGGTGAATTATCCTTAGAAGTAATGAAGTGTCTTGTTCATAACAAAGGATGAAGAATGAGGGGAACCCGTAGGGTATAGTGCATACAGGTGGCAGTCGAAATGAGACCGCCACTGCATGGTCACTCTTAACTTGGTGTAGCTTCTTTGTTTTTTCCAAGAATGAAGAATTTTAAGACAGCTGGGTGGCTTTCCATTTTACTTTGTCTCATCATTCTCATTCAATATTAAATTATAATACTCAGCAGTCCACAGTTACACAGCTTAAGGCACTTTGTGCTCAGATCACTTTGTATGAGCTTTTTGAATTCAATTAGACTTCACCTTTTTATAATTATGCTCACACCAGGCAGATCGGTATGTGTATGTGTGTGATAAAACAGTAATTAACAAGCGCTGCCATACTCCCATGACTGACTAATGATCTAATCTTGTTGGTTGCATCAGAAAAAAAAAATGTGTGTTCGGTGCTGAAACTAATAAGACTGCACCAGTTTTGCAGCTCTTGAGAAATTAACATATGAAACAATATTAGGCCTTTAGTCACGGCTGTAATTTTAGGGTTAATGTGTTTTCTTATTGTAAATTGTGTAATGTAATATAATGCTAGTTATATGTTGATGCTGTTACCACTTTAAATTTTAGTCTTTTTTTTAATGAAGAGCATTGCCAACACTGTCTTAATGCCTGCGGTCCTCATAGCCATTTGTTCTTATTGAAGAAGTAAATCTTGGAAAATAGGTCACAAAATACCTAGGCTTATGTGCTTTATTTGACAGAAGGCAGCTATGTAAGTCATTTTCTGCAAATGTTACTGAAAAGAGAAGTTCAAACCTGTTAGGGGGATGATAAATCACACACACACACACACATATATATATATGACCAGGCATGCCATGCTCAAGTGGGTATTTCCAGCAGCAGGACCAAAGCTGTGACATTGACTCATATCTGTCTGTTTGTACAAATGATTTTAATAACTACAAAGACTCAAACTGTTTAAAAGTTTAATTAATTGCTCTCCACATATCAAGCCGCAACACTGACATATTACCACCTCATAAAGTCTTGTGGGAAATGTGTGAGCAAAAAGTTACGGGCTGCACGTCAAACTGACATGAACATTAGCTGCATACCGCCGTTTGAAGCAACACTGATGACATATTTGAGAATCTACCGAAACTGTAAAATTGTATGCCAAAGGGGGAAAAACAAAACAGTGAATGAGCTGTAGGGGTGATAAAGCCCTCTACTGAGCTCAGTGAGACTGCAACATAGGTGATCATGGGGCTTCATATGAGCTTTTACATATAGCAGTCATGTGATCCATTTTATAAAAGAGTATTTGTTAGAACACATTCAAGTGTAGCTAGATATAATCGTGACACTTTAAAACATCTGAACCTCTTTTTTTGTGTCTCAGATTTCACAAAGTGAAAATACACCACGAGTTATTAAAATGGGATTTCATCATAGGATAAAGAATATCTTCCCCACAGTGCATTACTGTCATAAACTAACTTATCATTCAACAAATATGACTTTATTCATATGCACAATGGACACCTCGGGGCAACCATTTCAATATTATTTGATAAGAGACCTGTGGGTAGTGATGCCTGAAATGATTTGAGTCCGAGTGCAGAGGGAGAGGAAGAGGAAACAGGAGCAACTGTAGCATGCCTTCCTCTTCCTTTTCATCTTTGTGCTGGTGTTTTCGCCTTCCAGTGTTATTTTGCAGATTAAGAAGAAATAATGTGGGTTGT